AGGTTCATCCAGGACAATAGCAGGCGGTGAAGAGTCCCCGGTGGGGCCTGGCTGCCTGTGCAGCTGCAGAGGCTGCGCCCTGTTCCCTGTTCATCCTCACAATGAACCCCCATTAAGGAAGGAAGCGCTATTGGCCGCCCTCGCTCTTGCAACCTGAAAGAGCCTATAGAATACAGATCTCATTGTGAATGCTTTTGTAATTTGGAGATTTCTTCTTCTTCTTCTTCTTCTTTTTTTTTTTAAATAGATCTAAATGGGATAATCAGCCCCTTAATGTGTCAGAGGAGAATTCAGGATAGGACTGAAGAAGCAGTTTGAGGCATTTGCAATCATTGTTGGACGGACAGAGCCAACAGATGGAGAATAATAGTGAGGGACTCGAGGGCTGGTGTAGGCAAATGCCAAATGCCCCCTGTGGTCTTTGGCCCTGAATGACGCGTGAGAGGAGAGGAGGGAAGGCTGTTCCTTCAAGGGCTAGCAAGTTAGGTGTGATGGGGGCTGGAAAGGAGAGACTGGGGGGCTTTGAGCATACTTTTTTAAATCTTTAGACTTCACCTACTTTGGCTGTAAAATAAAGTCATCAGTGATCTCAAAAACTCCTCCCAGATTTAAGATTCAAGAAATCCTGACCTTTATTGTTAAGGCTGGATTTTCATGTATGCTATCTGCTAAAAGTTGAGGCAAAGTGTAACTGATATGGCCCAGTCTGGAGACCACAGGGTCAAGGTTGATACAGTTTCCTGAGCTCACATTAGCTTCCAAGAGCATTCATGTTGTGAACTTTAGCACTTGAGCGTTCTTGATTATTCAATTTATTGATTGCCCCAGCCATATACCAGGGTGGGCAAAAGTAGGTTTACTGTTGTTCATATGGAAACATATATAATACAAGAATAAACTCTTCTATTCATGTACTCATAACTGTAAGCCTACTTTTGCCCCATCCTGTATATGTCTTAGCCATTTGTTATTTTTTTGCTTAAAATATAAAAATAGGATATATGTAGACTGTAGCACTTAATAGCTTCATGTTTTTTTTAAATATATTTTATTTTGATTTTTTTGCCCCCCTCCCTTCCTCCCATACATACCCTCCCTCCCCAGAGTTTTATGTCCATTGGCTGTACTTATATGCATGTATACAAATCCTTCGGTTGATCTATTATCTCCCCCAGATCTCCCTCCCCTCCCCACTGTAAATTGACAGTCTGCTTGTTGCTTTACTGTCTCTATATCTATCTTTTGGTTCATCAGCTTATAATGTTCTTTATTATCCATAAATGAGTGAGGTCATGTGGTGTTTCTCTTTCATTGATTGGCTTATTTCACTCAAATAGCTTCATGTTTTGATATTTTTAAAGAAATAAAATTTACCAAATGAAATAATCAGGCAAGTTGGTCATTATCATATACATTTTTTTCCTTGTGTTTTAATTGTTTTTGTATATTTCTTTCAGCGTTTTAAGTTATTTTAACCCCCAATGACTGATTATCATTGCTTAAAACACGGTTTCAAATCATCGGGTTCTTTGGCAAAGATTAAACACATTTTAAAATTCATTTTATGTCATTACATGCAACATATTTTCAACAGTAAAATGGTTTGTTTGTTTTTTCATCCCAAACTGGCATGTGGTTAAGATAAATCAATTATCTGGTATTTTTGATCATTGAAATATAGAAACCATAATGAAGGAAGAGAGACTCAGGAGGTATTTTTGCAGTACAACCCTTGGATGAGGTGACTTTCTCTAACCTGGCAACTATTCCATAGAGCCCATAAAGCAGTTGTTCTTGAGTGCCAAACCGCAGCTCTGGCATTAAGCCAGTTTTCAGGTCTCACCCAAACTTCCAGGGACGCAGCAGTCTGTGCTATGACAAGTATTCCCGAGGATTCTGAAGTACCTTAAAATTTGAGAGCCACTATCAAAATTAAGGCTGCCCATGGAATAGAATAAACCATAAATTATGTCTAATGACTATCTCTCCTTATACCAAAAGGTGTGAGTGCTCCCTGCTACAATGCCCCAGCCCCTCGCCTCCTGTGTTTTGTGTTCTCACAGTGCATTCTACTCTGACTTGTGTAGTCGGTAATGTCTACTTTCTTGGATTAGACTATAAAATTCCTGAGACCGGGGCTGCATCCTACTCATCTTTCTTCCTGAGTATATCAGTGTCAGACGCATAATAACAACTCAATAATTGTAGAATTGTGGGAGGGCTGCCAGCCAAGCCCAGAGAGTCATCGGATAGCTTTTGGACAAGGCTATTAATTGTATAAGTTAGGGGTACATTGCATGCCTGTCCCAAAATATTCCCTTGCAGATGACTGACATTCATTCTTTGGAGATTTATAGAAAGCTTACGCAACCCATGTTTAAAATACCAAATCCACCTAAAAGGGATAGGGAAACAGAAGAAAGAGCTGGAGGACGAGCCTAGCCCTTTTACCCCCTGGAGCTATCAAGAGGCAGCACACAGACACTAGAAAGGAACAGAGCTGGGAAACAGGAACAAATCTTTGATTTCACAGTCTTGCCTGGGGCCTTGACTGACAGTAGCTGCTGTTTTAACCTCCATCTGTGGCTTCACGCCTTTTTAGAAGAGACTCACGAAATCTCACTCTGGTCTTATAGGGAATATTTTCAGCCTTAGAGAAAAATTGTGAGCATGAGAAGCAAGCTCGCCTTGCTTTCCCACACCCAAAGACAGAGACTCATAAAACAATAACAACCTGAAAAGGAGAACCTGAACACGCACGGTACAGAGCATACTTAGTTGATTATTTTAGGTGCTCTTCTTCTGAACATCATTGTGTGAAACAAACAATAAACAGACAATCCTCTCTCCCTTATAATAATGATTAGTTTATATTTACATATTTATTTGCCACTGGTGCCTTGAAATTCATTCTATAACATCATAAACCCATGGCAAATTCTGAACAGAGAAATCCATGGTAGGAAAATAGGACCAGAAAGGATATAGTATATGTGGGTAAAAAAAAAACAACCCAATTTTTCATCCATATTTGTGATTTCATCTCAATCACGACTTATCTGCATTGGCTCAGATTTGTTTTTCTGGGATACTGCGGCTGGTTTTACAGACTCATTTGCCGAGGAACACTGCCATCAAGCGGCCGACGCGCTAAAGACAGGTCACCAAACGCCTGGCTGGCAGCAGGGTTTTCATTCCGATTCTCTCTTCAGAAAAATGCTTGTGGCTTGAAAATGTGCTTTGTTGCTTGCAGCAACAAATACATTTGTTGATGTATTTTTTTTAAAAAACAGCATCCTTCAAAATATTTGCCAAAAGATGAACTCCGTGTCAGCTTTTGAACCTCCCCCCCCCCGCCCCAGTAAACAGGGGACCACATAAAAAATATGTAAAATAAGCATTGATCCATGTTTATTTTATAAGCGTGTCAAGTTTTCAGAGATGCATCCACTTTAAAGAGGGTAGGATACCTTTATCATCTACCCCAATGTGGCTGCCTATCTCTTCCTCGCACCGACAAGTCAGTTTAAGGAGAGGAGACAGAGAACGAGAGCTGTGCAGATGCAGAATCGTGTGGTTCAAAAACTAAAAGTATGAAGCTTGGCACCAGGTTGGAGTCTCTCCCCTTTGCCACTCATCAACTGTGTTGTCTTGAGCAAGTCTCATAAACTCTCTGGCCTCAGCTTTTTCTGTCTTGACCAAGTGCACGAGTCAAAATTGTTTTCCAGTTTATCATTCTGTGATCCTACTTGACAAGTAAACACATTTTTGTAAAAGCAGAAATGCTGTGTGTTGCTGTTGTTGTTGTTTTTAAGGTGGATTATTTCCCGTAAATATGCTCCTGTTCCTCTCCTTGCCTCCCCCAGCCTGGACTGCAGCTCTGCCAGCATGACTCATCATGCAAACTTCTCTCTGCAGAACCCCGACAAAGCTCCAGCATCCAGGGGCTTGCATGCGATCTGGGGGCATTCACAGGTTAGGTATCTCGATGTATAGAAAATCCTGTGGACAACCAGTCTCTGCAATTGTAAACAGCTTGCTGGTGTCTGAGAACTGTCGATCTTAAAGAACATTCCAGAATATTAAAAAAAAAAGATCTCTCAAAACAGCTGGATGTCTGCAACACCTGAAAGGGATGGGCAATTTTCTCCTCTTAACGACACCTTCTCCTTTATACGTTTGTCTGACATGAAAAGAGGATGCAAATACCGCCTGGAGCACAGGCGTGAGGTTAATGTTCTGCGGAGACAAAATTATGGTAAATTATTCCCCCGGGTTGATTTTGTGATGGGTGAGGGATGGCAATACAAGCTGGTGTTGATGCTTAACTGCGCTGGAAGGACATGTAAATGCAAGCCAGTTGCTAGGAGACCCAGAGCACAGAGCTAATGGCCACCCAGTGTGCGCAGGGATGTTTTTATCTCGAGCAACCTTGTCTTTCACAGCCAACGATGACATTAAATGAGCAGTCTGTCAAAATTCAGGTGGACCAGGGCTTATTTATGGCTCGCGTCAATCTGGCCGTTCTGTCACCCGCCACCCATTAAGGGGATCATTGAAAGAGAGCAATGTCACATGGTTCCAGGGACCAAGATGCTCCAAGAAAGCTCCGAGTGATTCACTGCAGATTCACTTCCAATACTCTCTCTCGTGAGAGACAGCTGGTCTGTTCGCTGATATTAGCTCCAGGAAGGGTGCAGCAGTGGCTGATGAATGTCAAGCCCCATGAAGATGTGCTTAACGAGGACGTTGAAAAGCAAGCATTTCAGCCATTTGTGGCACTAAAAAAAAAAAAAAAAAAAAAAACACAACACAACACAATTTTATGCTAAACACATGCTTTCTGTGTTTAATTACTATAAAAAATAGAGAGATGCAGAACTCTAGAACTGGAAGGGCTTTGAGAGTTCTTCCAGCGCCCCCAGCTGGTGGGAGACGGAGGCTGAGCCTGCAAGGGCGATGGGCAGCCTGTTCAGAAAGGCATGGCAGGGACATCTATCTTGGTTAACGCTGTCAAGCTTTGCCAAGATCCAGGAGACACTGATTTCAACAGGAGAAAAGAGAACAAAAACAAACCGGAAGACTGAGGGATGAGTACAGTAGGTCTCATTTTACTTAAAAGAAACTGAGTCACTGAGAGGTGTTTTGAGGGATTGGAAACACACAGCTGATTATCATTAGAGTGGGAACACCACCCAGAGTCCCAGGCCAATGCCCTTGTATACAGGAGCACCATCTAATCTTCCTCAGGAGAGTTATTTACGATGTCGAGTTAGCACACTATTATCAATGGCAGCAAATAATAATCTTGGAATGCTTCTGTAATGCTTCACAATGTACAAAACATGTTTATGCACATGGTTTCACTGGAGTCTTACAAACATGGGAAATATTCTTACCAAATGGTACACTTTGTGAAGAGAATGGATCTGCACTGTTACAAAAGTCTAGATCTAATTGCACTAGTTTTCTAGATCCCCATTATAATCCTATTGCCATGCCCCAATCCCCAGGGTGGTATAGAGGACTTGGACAATAGAAGATTAACACCCTAATATGGTTTGGAAAATTTTTGTGTTTGCTCCATTTCAATATTGAATCTCTAAAAATAAAATAAAAAATGTGTGCTTTTCTGCTTATCTATGGAAAATATAAAACTATCATCACTTATAAATTATTTTTGAGAACCTCTCGTGTGCCAGGCCAGACACAGCCATTATGAAGATGCTGTTCTAGGTTTAACTTTGGGAGAACTGGACTTGGGTTCAAGGAGCAGAAGAAATGGAATAAGTGAAAAATCTCTCAGTTCCATTCCCATGCTTTACTGAGCTTCACAATATTTGAAAAGAGGTGAGGCATCCTAAGGAGGACAGCCTCCTCAGGTGACCTTTTCCTTGTCTTGGAACCCACCTGCGGTCCCCCCCCCCCCCCCCATCGGCATCACCTTGTCAGAAAGCTCCTCATTTTGTCCAAGAGCAGAGGACACTCTCCTGGCATGCTGTGACACACTAATAAAAAATTCATTTTTAGCATGGAACATTTTCATTTTGAAGAGCAAGAGGACAGAGGGATTTCTGTCAGGCCTGAGTAGACGGTGTGACATGTGTCCACTGTGTTAACATGGCCTTCTGAGATGGTGATTTGGAGACATGGTCTGAATAATGTAGGCAGGTCTCAAATCTGTTTCATTAGCATTGGTCACAGCACTTCCTATATGTTAGAATGACTTTGATGGGCAATTTAATTAAGCTCTTATTTGTTTTGTAAGCACAAATAATAATCTCTTAGTTTTATCCTCTGCTGCTCAGGTAAATTGGTCAGTAATTGATTTTTTTTTTTTTTTTTAGTACAACACAGATACTTTCTTAATTTTATACATTTCTTCATGATAGTTGACTTTGTTTTCTCTAATTATTCCACAAAGTTTAGATTTATTTATTTATTTTTACAGCTCTGAAATGGAATTGAAATAGCTTCTCTGAGAAAAATTAAAAGTCCTCTGTATAGGTTAAAATGGTAGTGTTTCAAAAAGTTAAAGCAATGCTATTTTATTTCTTTTTGAAATTTTTCTCCTTGAACCTTCATTCAGCCTTCAGGGTTTGTTAACCTAAGGAAAGAAAGTATTGGAGCACCGCAGGACAAACTGGCCATTGGTCAGGTTTTAGTGGCAATGCTGAGTTAGAAATAAAATAGTTGTGAAAATCAGGCATTAAAAAATGGGGATTTTTCTAAATCATGTTATCTTCTTTATATTAGGAATCATGCCTGAAGGATTCAGATGATGGGGTTCCTTCCATAATGCCAAAGGGCAACTCTTCCACCCTGTGGGGGAGGTCACCAAGCTTGCTGACCTAGGGATCAAAAGGAAAGGTCAACGGGGAAGTAAAAGTCCAGAACTGGACCCTTCTAGCCAGGAATACTGGAAGTCGTTAGACATTATGATAGGGGTATAGGTTGATCGAAGGGTTAGATGCTATGCTCTCATCTTTGTACACACATTTCTTCCAGGGTTGCACTTTAGAGAAGCAGTGAAGAGAAGAAGGGACTTAGAGGGAACCTGAGGAGGTCTGAAGACACTGAGATTAGTGATCCAGCATCAGGGAGAATATGGATTCTTTGGAGAAGTCCAGCCTTCTACTTAGGTGCATGCCCATTCTAGTCCTAAAAGGATGGCAAGAAGGCAGCTGCAGAAAGCTGCGGGTTCTTCATGGTTTTTATATAAAATGTGTGTGTGTGTGTGTGTGTGTGTGTGTGTGTGTGTGTGTGGTGGGGGGAGAAACAGAGTTTCTGAGTATACATTGGACTGACATAGTCAAGAGGCTACAGTGTTTATGGATATCAAAATAGGAGGCCAATTGACCAGGATCATGTACTCCAGTGTTGGGATCCAGAAATCTGAGGATAGCCAGATAAAAGAGTCACTCTGCCACGGAGATCAGTGAGGGCCCAGAGGACAATGAGTCTACCTGGGGACCCCCTCTCCCTTATATGAGGTCATATAAGCTGTCCTTCTACCCTTGACTGATATTTTCCTGGGATACATTTCGTCTGGCCACACTGGTTATTGATGGTCTATCTCTTCATTGGCACTGGTTGTTCAATATTACTATTTCCAATTTTGCTTCTATTCATGTCCCATATTTCCAGAAACCATCTTAGAAGGAAAGTCATAACTTTAAAAGGTATGGAATTATATCCAAAGAGACTGAGCATTTATTTAAAGAGACTGTTAAATATTTGGATCAGACTAAAGATATCAGATTGGAATAAGATTAAGTTACCCTTCCTTTATTACTATGGTGGAGAACCCATAAGGGGGATCAAGTCCATTAATTGGATATAAACAAACTATATTAATTTTTGTATTTGATTCAATGAATTGCAACTTTGTGTCAAATACTAGTATACAGAATACTGGAAAGATCTGAGAACTTTCATGAGCACTTAAATTCGTTAGCATTCAAAGGTCTACAAAAGCAAGATTTTTGTCTGTTTGGTGCGCTGCTGTAGCTCCAGTATTCAGAGTAAGTTCCTGGCACATTGTCGGTGCTCGGTAAGTATTTACTGAAGGGATTACAACTATTACATGAGGCAGACTTGCAAAGTGCCCCTAAGAATCCCAATAGAATTGAAAAAAAAAAAAAAAACCCAGTGAATCCCCAGTGTCATCCATCTTAATCCATAGTTGTCAGCTCCCTCTAGGAATATATGTTCCATTTTAGGCACCGAGATTTAAGAGGAGCATTCATTAATAAACTAGAGAGGATCCATAAGGGATCGGGCAAGGCAAAAGAATTCTGGAAACCGCCGGAGCCAGTTTGGCTCAGTGGATAGAGCATTGGCCTGCAGACTGAAAGGTCCAGGATTTGATTCCGGTCAAGGGCATGTACCTTGGTTGCGGGCACATCCCCAATAGGGGGTGTGCAAGAGGCAGCTGATCGATGATTCTCTCTCATTGATGTTTCTAACTCTCTATCCCTCTCCCTTCCTCTCTGTAAAAAATCAATTTTATATATATATAAAAGAATTCTGGAAACCACCCCAAATAAGGAACAGTTGACACTACTTCAGAAAAACATTATTATGAGAGATAGGATGCTATTTCCAAATGTTCGGAAGGCCTTCATCCACGATGAGTTTGAATGATTGTATGATTGTTATGTTCATACTTAGACCCAATGGGCAAATTTTGGCCCAATGTAACAAAGAAACTTCTGATGCTAATTTTCAAATAATGGAATGGATGGCTTTGTGAACCAGGATGTGATAGTTAATTATATATTGATTGTTGTCAAACTAATAAAAAAAGGATCATATTTACATAAGTATTCACGGGAGCTTCATCAGTTTTGCCAGGGCCTCTCTTGATCCTTTGATATTGCACTGATTAGTTATTATATTAGTAATAACATAAAGCAATATCTTTTATCTTTTGAATGACTCTTATTATGAAATTGGATCAGAAAAATTATCTTCCTCAGAAAATAATAAACATTCCATTTCATGAATCTATGAATTGTATAATTGCTGTGAACCTCAATGTTATTAAATATGAAGTGAAAAAAATGTTCCCCATAATTTGCTTTTATTTTTGAAGTTGAATTTTAAAAGACCCCCCATTTTGTGAAATTTGATCTTCATTTTGAGAAGAGTAAATTTTAGTGACCTTTGCACTAATTATCCTCACATAATGCAAAATTCTTGGATGTCTCTGTTTCCTATACTGGGAATGCTTTCTTCCTCTAGTTATGTCAAAAATGGACAAAACATATTAATAAATGCTATATATCTGCTTGAATGACCCAGAGGACTTCAAAGGAAGAGTATCATATTTGCCCCCAAGCATGTGCTCAGGACATTATAAATAATTAATGATTAATTTTTTATACATTCACTCTTTATTTATTCATTTGAGCTAGGTAGACACTAAGGACATGAGAATTATTCACTTCCCTCCCTCATGGAATCTGTAATTCTGTAGTTATTCTGAGTCAACATGTTATCCTTATTAATATGTTCAGCATGGAAATACCTTTTTATTACAAATGTAATATTTGCTCATTGTAGATGAATTCACAAAATAACAAAGAGATAAAGAAGAAATCTGACATAATCTTACCACTGGGAAATAAAAGTCGAAGATATTTAATAATAGATGCTTACAGACTTTCCTTCCTATGTGTCACATATAGTATATATATATTTATACATTTGGTGCATTATATAAATATATATAAATTTTATACATATATACAAATATATATTCCTAAATTATGTAAGTATAGATGTTTTAAAAAGATGTTTGTTCTATACATATTTTATAAATTGCTTATCTCACAGATATTTTAAAATAAATATAGATCTATCTAGTTATTGTGACTGAAGGGTATTCCATTATTTGTATATGCCATAATTTGTTTATCAAATTTTCTATGTTGATCTTTAGATTGCTTCTATTTTTTTACTATTATTAACAATGTAATCATCCACTCATACATTTTTATTTATTTATCCTTTTCTTGCAGGACAAATATGTTATACTATATTAAGCTTGAAATTTTATCTTCTTGAAAACTTAAAAATTAATAATATTAACAAAATATCCCAAACATGGAAAAAACAAGCAATGCTAATGTATATTGTTAGTTGTCAGGATAATGGTTGTCCCTGGAGTCAGGTGTATATTTTGATTGGAAGGAGTTTTATATATATTTGAAGTACAGTAGTCCTCCCTTATCTGAAGTTTCACTTTCCATAGTCTCTGTTGGCCACTGTCTGCAGTGGTCTAAAAGCATTAAATGTAAAATTCCAAAAATAAATCATATGTTTTAAGTTGCTGGCCAATCTAAGTAGCATGCTGAAATCTCCCACCACTCAGCTCCATCCTGCCCAGTGCTTGACTCATCCGTTTGTCCTGAGTATTCACACTGTAGATGATCCCCACCTATTAATCACTTAGTAGTCCTCTCAGTTATCAGATGTACTGAGAGAGCACATTCACATAACTTTTACTACAGTATATTACTACAATTGTTCTATTTTAATATTAGTTGTGTTTATCTGACTGTACCTAATTTATAAATTAAACTTTATCAAAGGTATGTATGTATAGAAACAAAACATCATTTAGTTAGGTTTGGTTCTATCCCATTTCAGGCATCCACTAGGGGTCTTAGGATGTATCTTCTGAAGAGAAGGGGACCGAATTCCATGGGGGAATTGATTTTACTTTTGTAAAAATTTAACAAGCCATAGACTTGACTTGTCACCTTCTACTTTCTTGTATTTATGTTACACATCAATGAAAGAGTTAAAAATTGTGTTATAATTTGCATCCATGTTTTACATCCTTTGGTAAATTCTAAGAATTAAATGCTATTATCACTTTAAGTTTTGACTCTCATCAACAATATATAAAATGTGATTTTTGATTCAAAATTAATACTCATGATCATTTTCTAGTTTCCCATGATTTATACATTTTAAAAAATTGAGTATTTTCCTCTTTAACTTTTTATTTGAAAACATTTCAAATCTAGAGAAAATCTAGAGAAAAAGCTAAGAGAATAATATAGTAGACACCAACTTTACACTTTTTGCTTAAATTTGCTTTCTCTTTCTGTCTCTACACACATACAAATACACACATACACTTTTATATGTATATGTGCTTGTATATGTGTATATTTATTTTTATATTTCTGAACTTTTTGTAAAGCAGTTTTAGACATCAGGACAATTTACCCCTAAAATATCCGTTAAGAATAAGAATATTTTTTAAATAGCCAAATACATTTACCACACCTTTAAAAATGAACAATAATTTCATAGTATCAAGTAATATCTAGTCCATATTCATATTTCCACAATTATTCCAATATGGTCTTTTTTTTAACTGACTAAAAAAAAAAATCCATGATTAAATAAATTCATCCACTCACTGAAAGTAGCTGTTTTGTTTCTTTAGTCTCTCTTTATCTGAAACAGTCCTCAGTCACCAGCACCCCACCGCACTTTCTTTTCTGACATCGAACATTTTCAAGTTCAGGTCACTTGAAACCCCTCTGTTTTCAAGTGTGTGTGACCATGCTCGATTTTGCAAGCTTATATTACAAAAGTATGATAGCTTTTTCAGAAGCACACGTATCAGCAACTGGAACAAATTTATAGTTGGGCTATCGGTGAAACAGAGCAAGACACTGGATCTCCAGTTGGGCACCAGATGTTTTTGCTGAGGGAGGGAGAAGCAGTAAGAGCTTTGAAATCTCACAGGATTACTTTGATCATAGTGACATTTCACCCTCTGAAATGCATCAGGAGGGTTTTCCTTCTTATTGGCATGGTGGTATTATTCAAGAATCAGTTAGTATAGGACCAGTTTTGAAGATCTGAAAATGCAGTGACAGCCAAGAAGGATATTTTGAAGTTTGAAATGATCCCTATATAAATAGAACGGATCAGCATAACTTTGGGATAAAATTAGCCGACACTTTGTGGGCTCTCCAGCATGTGCCTGTTTGCTTGGTGCCGCTCTCCTGATAAATCACAGCAAAGCTTCCAGAGGAAGAGGAAGGATGGACAGCACCGATCTCCCTGTCAGTGCACCCGCAGCTGCCAAGCTAGTTAAGAGAAATTTCCTTGAGGCTCTAAAGTCAAATGACTTCGGAAAATTGAAGGCCATTTTAATCCAAAGGCAAATAGATGTGGACACAGTGTTTGAAGTTGAAGATCAGAATATGGTTTTGGCATCTTATAAACAAGGTAAACATTATAGGTGTAACTGGTACTTAGTAAAAGTTTTAGGTGTAATTGGTAAAATCGATAGAAAATTGAGTTTTTTAATGCGCAGCGTCAGTCACCCACTCTCAATCAACTACTCTTGTTTCTTTAAATATGTATTTTAAAAATATTTCTAATTTAATCTTTTATTTCTTGTTAAAATAGATTGCAACATGGAGATATATATGTACTTAAAAAAAAAAAGAAATTGTGCTCTCCCTTTTTTTCTTTCTCTATCCTTGTACTTGGAATTTGAAATCCTGGCCAATCATTGAATAGAGCGATTTCCTTCTATTTCTAACTTTTCTTTTGCCTATACTGTCATAGAATAAAGAAAACATCTCTAGATTATGGCTAAAGAGACTGCTCAGATGGTATGAGTGGCTTGGGGACAAGCAGAGAAGTCTCTTTTAACACAGCCACTTAAAGATGTGTCATCTCTATGTCCCTCTCTATCAACAAAGTGGATTTTGCCCCCGTTTGGAGAGTTAATGAATGCGTAAGGCTGTGCCTTGATGCATCTTTTTGGTTCTCATCATTTTAATGAGTTTTCAGTTTAGTCAGGAAAGCTGAATCAAAAAAAAAAAAAGTGAACTTTTCCCCTTGAATAATAGATCAAAATTGTAGGTCTACTTAACACAGATTATCTGTGTTCTGAAGAACTAAGGAAAACAAAAAATCAGAACTGATTGTTTTTTAATCCAGGGACTTTCTGAAACTCATGGTTAATGAATCAGAAATAAATTAGAAGAGTACAGCTTCTGATTTCCCAAATCAGCTAGTTATGGGGGAACTTGAGTAGCGAGGCCATCTGGTGAGCAGACTGCAAACAAACACCACGTTCATCATCACTTCTGTTTAATAAAATAGATAAGGTCTTGTATGTGGCATTTAGAGAGAGACACCCATTCTTTGTTCATGTTTAAAATGCATTCCATGCTTATATAAATCATCAGCACCATCAATTTTCAGCAACTAATGTTAAGGGTATATAGTTCTATATAAATTAACTGTACTCTGATTATGAGTTCTGAAGGGTAGAATAGCCGAGGCCAGTTTATAATTAATACTTGCAGGCTTTATAATCAATTAACATTGCTATTTGATTGGAAGATAAAAATGAGGTCTGTTTTTAAAAAAGGAGTTGATAGATAGGGGGTTCTGTTACACAGAAAGAGAGGATACTATAAAACGAGGTTACTTACATCACATGAGTTTGTTCCGTGAAAGACGATCTGAATGCTCAATACATGTTTAAGGGTTGTGTTTTTTTTAAAATTTACATTAGGGCCCAATGTAAAATAACTTAAGTCTAAGTCAGTGGGTAATTTGCCTGACCCTGAGTTGTGAAGACTGCCTTTTCTCATCTCCCGAGTATGCGGAGCTTCTGAGGTTGTGAGAAAGGAAGTTTTAGGGGCAAGCTCCAGGGAAGAACGGTGCTGTTCCTCTTGCTTCCAAAGGTGTCACCCCCCCTAAATGAGAAGAATTTTAAATCCTTTCTGTCACTCTGCGCCGACTCCTGCGGTTCTCACAGAGCAAACATTTTCATTCATGCTAATGGGTATTTTCATAGTGTTAGGACTATGTGATGTGGCTTTCAATTAGGGAGACAGCAAATTACACCCTCTGGGAAAGGAAAGGAGCAGTTCTGTTCTTATGCACGCCAGATGGATGTATGCACAGAAATAATAGAATTTATGGTCATATCTTCAGGGTTGATGCAGGAAATTGTATGTGTCTGTATTTCTATAGAAAGTAATACACTCACTCTCTGTTTGATATGAATATGGGTATGAGACTAATGCAATCTGAAACCTGAATTAAAGCCTCCTTTTTCTCCAAAGTTTCCTCAAACTTTTTCACACCTCTTCCAGCCTAATTATCAGATCTTTTAATATTTTAGTCATGGTGGAAGTGATAAATAGAATCCCAGTTGCTAGCCAAGAAAAATAGACCTAAGTGGTTATATCAATTTCTTAAAGCCACAGAGGAATTCCTAGGGAACAGCTGAGCAGGCTACACTGGTCGGTTAGTTAGTTAGTTAGTTAGTTAGTTAGTTAGTGTGAGTTAGCTCCTTTCTGAATAATTCTAATGAGACCTTTTTCTGTGCAAGATTCAAGTTTGTGAGGCTTTATTAAATCACAGGAGACTTTTGGATGTGGAATTGTTATGCACTAGTTTTTGACCTTTTTAAAGCTCTATGCAGAAAAGTACACAAATCATAAGAGTGCAGCCAAATTAATTTTTATAAAATAAACAATCCTATGTTTCCAGCATCCAGGTGAAGAAGCTGAACATGGCTTGTTTACTTTTAAAGTGTGAGAATTTTCCTTCAGGCTTGTCATTTTTTTTCTTACTAAGCAAGACAATGTGTAAAACGTATAACAGATACCATGCTATCTCTAAATTTGCTTGTGTCATTAATAATATAATCTATGTTCAATATCCAATTGTCCCGGGGAAAATCAACCAGGGCACAATTAATCCCAAACCATGTTTCTTTCTTTTAGGATGTATAGCACTTTTCACAGGATTTCTAAGAGTGATCACATTTTCCCTCTAAAGATAGTATGTCTAAAGCCAGTATGAAAATTAATTTCATTAATAACATTGAGGTTATAATTTTTGGAAAGGTAACCCTAAATTCCATTGGCAAAGAAATCAACTTGGGATGTGAACGTTGTTCCCCCAAATCCACAATCCAATTGGTATACCAGCAATCAAAAGTTGACCTCCTGCACAAATATAGAACACAGCATCTGAAAATGCACTTCTCTTCCCTGTGTGACAGAGAACAGACTTAGAGGCCAGCGTCCAGAACTCAGGCTCACCCTGTGGGATCTGCCTAGCCCCAGAGCCTGCTCATGATTCTTAAGGTTAGATCTCATCTTATTGGGTCAAGTTATTTTTAAATAACTCATAATCCAATCTTCAGATAAAGTCATGTTTTATGAATTTGAAAAACTTCTCTCCCACTTTGTAAAGCAAACATCAAAAAACATTTCGGTTGGCATTTGAGGTATGTCCTGGAGAAGGGCAGAGATATGGGTCTTAAAAGCAAACACCAGGAAGCAAAATGACATCTCCCAGATGATCACTTTAAAATGGGGAGAAAAAGTTAAACAAGCGAACAACTTTTTAACTTCTAAATGCAATAAATAGCTGCCTCGCCCAGTGAGGTCAATGATATAAAGTTTATTATATGCCAAGAACACAGTATACAGGGCACAAGCCAGGTCTCTAAGAAAACTCAGAGCTGTTTCTCAGAATAGCGGAAGCATGAACATCCATAAAACTGTTTCCAAGGGTTCTACCAACTACACATCTCAATTTTCCTTCAGATGTCTCAGTCCTGGCTTATACGTGATCAGGGCAGAATATCATCCGTAGCTCTTTGGGGTGAAATTCCCTGGTTAGCAAGGTTAACCAGAGTCCTTTTATTAATCAGTGTAATGCAGTTAAGTCCTCTGTTTATGGCCTCGGCCACAGGTTCTTTGGTCGGTGGTGGTATTTTTAATTAAAATAACCAATGAGTGATTTCACTGGAAATCTTTCTGGCGGGTACTCTATCTACTTTACTAAGTAGCACCTGCCATCCAGATATCTCAAATGCTCTTATTTCCACTCTCTTCATGAATAATCTCTTTTCCACCTAATTTTCCTCTTAAGCTGGAGAAATTCACTCTCCAGCTCTCCTAAGACCCTCATGGGGTTCTCTTCTATTCCTTGGTGTTCAATTTTTTTTTTTTTCTTTTCAATTTTACTTGTCAAGCTTGCTTTTTTCCCTTCTCTCTCTCCTGGGAAAACTCTGAAAAGTACCCCCCAAATATTAGCTGTTAGCAAATAGCCAAGACTTGTGCTTGCAGTCTCTAATCCTTCGGGACTGTGTAAATACATGGACACAGTTGGAGCAAATGTCTGCTAATCCAGGCGCGAGCAAGGCGTGTAATCTCTGGCTGTGACAGCGGAGGCTTCTCGGGTGTGGGCCCTTCGAACTCAGTTAACATCGAGCTGGTAACTGTCGCAGAGCGCGGGCTTAGCCGAAGGTTTCCCCGAGGTTGGGGTGCATGCCTCCCCCAAATCTTGCAGCAGGACCAAGTCTTCTTCTTGAGGAGGGCTGAACCCTCCGCTCCATGCCAGGGTTCCTGAGCCTGGGGCCTACCCAGCTACGCCTGCAGCTCTCTTTGGTTTCTGATTTAAACTAAACACACATGGGTTAGTCTGCACATTTTTTTTGGTGAGGGAAGGGTGTCCAAATTATAACATTCCTTCCTCTTACAAGTGATCTGCCTCTTACAAGTGACATTGGTTTAGAAGTGAACTGAATGTCGCCTTCAGACTATCGAAGGCTAGTTAAGGTTTGGGGAAACCAGAATGTGAGTTGGCCTCTGTTTGTTACTTACTCAAACACTTGGACTTTATGCAACTGAATCCATACAAGGTGTTATCCTAGTCCCTGGCCTGTGTTAGCTCAGTGGTTAGAGTGTTGGCCTGCGTACTGAAGGGTCTCGGGTTTGATTCCCAGTGAAGGGGGCACATACCTGGGTTGCGGGTTAGATCCCCAGCCCTGGATGAGATGTGTGTGAGAGGCAACCAATCCATGTCTGTTTCACACTGATGTTTCTCTCTCCCCTTCCCTCCTTCCTTTTCACTCTATCTTAAAAAAAAAAAAAAAAAAAATCCAACGAGGAATAAGTAAAAAAAAGAAGGAAAAAAAAAAAGATATTATCCTATTTGTAAAGTGGAGGCTCTGTCAAGACCCTCTCTAAATCCTGTGCATGCTGATAATCTCTGAGATTAAGAAGGGGAATTACAGGCCCGGATAATGTGTCCTGGCCGGGGGAAGGTAAAACTTATTGGACACGTTAAGTCCACACGGCCATGGCCTGGGCTGGAAGTTCCCAGTGGGACTTTTGCAGAGGAGAAGGAACCTGTGCCCGCATGTCCTCAGTTAAGCTCCTTGCTCAAGCTGAGGTCTCCCGCCAGGAGCAGCCGTTGCACCGTCGGCAGACCCAGGGCCAGCGTGTGTGTGTGTGTGTGTGTGTGTGTGTGTGTGTGTGTGTGGTAGACATATGGGGGAGGCAGCAGCTTCTTCACTGCCCCCAACGGCTTTGCTCCCCGGTTCTGCTCCACCCGGACCTTCCTGCCGTCTGAGGACCTATCTTTCCAAGACAAACGCTAAACATGAATCACACTCTAGGCTCTGAAGCCCTGGGACCATGCTGCTGTGGAAACAAGGGAGGGAGTAAGATATGACTCTGCCTGGTTCACTCTGTTTCTCTCAGGCTGTGCCTGTGGGGGATGGCGTGTTGG